TTCGGGACAAACTATTTTTGTCCCGTTCCGGTTCCGAACCGTTTCAAAACAAAACGGGACCGGGACAAATAAAATATGTCTCGTTCCGTCCCGTTGTTCCGAATTCAAAATTGTATATAGTTGTGGGTTAGTGAGTCTACCATCAATTCAAATACTAATGAATATTAATTAGGTATTAGTTATCTAATATATAAAACACATAAAGGAGCCTAAATTATATCAAGTATGAACTATCTTCTACATACTAAAAAGAAACTCACGTATACTTCACATGTTTCACTTCTAATAATATTGTTTGTCTTTTTATTTATTTTTGTAGTTTCTTGGTAATATTGTGTGTGTTGGAGTTATTGTTGTTATTATGGTTTGTTTCGTGCAACTATCCTATTAGTCTACTATATTTTGTGTTGCATTTATCGTAAATTTTTGTATGTGTTGCATTTTTAGTGTTGTAGTTTTTGTCATGAAGTTTCTTTTTGAAGCTGTATTTTTTTCGCTGCAATTTTTTGGGATGTCCCGAACCGTCTCGTTCTGTTCCGGTACCGATTTAAAAGGGATAATAGCGGGACAACATCTTGTCCCGTCCCGTTCTGTCCCGTTATCCTAAATCGGGTTCGGGACCGGGATAGTCTAATTCCTGTCCCGTTCCGTCCCGTGCCCACCCCTAGTTTTTAATAGGCATACTTATCTTAATTGTTTTATGTTTTATGAACTCAACTTCATTTTGGTGAGTGGTGGGGACTGGTGCAGCTTAAGGAAGGCATGAAGCTTCTGAACCGTGGACGAACAATTCTGCCAGATGGTTAGGCCTCATTTGCCTCTATAAAATAATTACTTCATTTCAATATGATTTGGCATACATTTTGTGAACCAATATTTTTTTCTAAGTAGAAGGATTGCTTCTAAACTTTGATTATACATTTAATCTGCATGCTTATTTAATAACTTTTAAGCATTACAATGATCTAATTGTATGGTAATTTTTCTTACCACATCATACATATTCACTTATTGACTTATTCTTTTAAAACATTCTGTTTTAAGAGATAAAGATGCAAGCATTCTACCCTCTATTTTGTTTTTGCCTACATTGTTTATACTTGTACGGTCTGCCCTGGGTATTATACACTCTATATCTTTGACAGTTTTTTATTTGCCTTTTTATAATCTAATGTGTAAATATGTAATTTTTGTTGAACCGACTTATCTCTTGAAGCATTGATGGTTTATATTCTTTCATGGTTTTATCTTTTGTTGATGCTTGTTTTAATAGGCTTACTTATCTTAATTGTTTTATGTTTTATGAACTAAACTTCATTTTGGTGAGTGGTGGGGACTGGTGCAACTTAAGGAAGGCATGAAGCTTCAGAACCGTGGACGACCAATTCTGCGAGATGGTTAGGCCTCATTATTTTTGTGTCTAATTCTTAACAATTTTTTTTTCAACAACTTATTCTTTGTTAACTATTAATGATTTATATTTCTTTATTGCCTTTTCTTTTGTTAGTACTTAGTTTTCATAGGCATACACCGAGGGTAAATGACATTTTAATTTAAGCATACAAAAGTTATGTATGCTTAACTTTTATAATTACATATATACATTTGTAGAAACCGATGAATTGCTAATTAATGTTTCATTTCAGGTGTAACAAAGTGCTTGATGGTGGATTGAGAGGATGAAGTGTAAGTAAAAAGCAAAAAATATATATAAATAATCCCACCTTTCACTGGTCTTCTCATAATAATCCCACCTTTAAATAATCCCAAAATAATCTCACCTTTACACCTCATCTTCTTTCATTGGACCCTGACCAAGTTTTTTTACCTTTTTTAAAAATCTTATATAAATAATCTCACATTTATAAGGATATGATTAAAAAGTGAAAGGTGAGATTATTTATATAAGTTTCAAAGAAAGAGTAAAAAACATGGTCAGGGTCCAATGAAAGAAGATGAGGTGCAAAGGTGAGATTATTTTGGGATTATTTAAAGGTGGGATTATTATGAGAAGACCAGTGAAAGGTGTGATTATTCTTGTCAATTTTTCCTAAATATTAATGTAAGTTAATGTATCAGAATATCATTTGCCTCTATAAAATAATTACTTCATTTCAATACGATTTGGCATACATTTTGCGAACCAATATTTTTTTCTAAGTAGAAGGATTGCTTCTAAAATTTGATTATACAATTAATCTTCATGCTTATTTAATAACTTTTAAGCATTACAATGATCTAATTGTATGGTAATTTTTCTTACCACATCATACATATTCACTTATTAACTTATTCTTTTAAAAGATTCTGTTTTAAGTGAAAAGATGCAAGTATTCTACCCTCTATTCTGTTTTTGCCTACATTGTTTGTATTTGTATGGTCTGCCCTGGGTATTATACACTCTATATCTTTGACAGTTTTTTATTTACCTTTTTATAATCTAATGTGTAAATATGTATTTTTTTTTTGAACTGACTTATCTCTTGAAGCATTGATAGTTTATATTCTTTCATGGTTTTATCTTTTGTTGATGCTTGTTTTTAATAGGCTTACTTATCTTAATTGTTTTATGTTTTATGAACTCAATTTCATTTTGGTGACTGGTGGGGACTGGTGCACCTTAAGGAAGGCACAAAGCTTCTGATCCTTGGACGACCATTTGTGCCAGATAGTTAGTCCACATAATTTTTGTGTGGAGTTCTTAACAATTTGATTTCAACAACTTATTCTTTGTTAAGTATTGATGATTTATATTTCATCATTATTTTTTCTTTTGTTGGTACTTAGTTTTCATAGGCATACACGGAGGGTAAATAACATTTTAATTTAAGCATACAAAACCCATGTGTGCTTAACTTTTATAATTAGAAATATACATTTGTAAAAATCTATGAATTGCTAAAGAAGTTTCATTTCCGGTGTAAAAAAATATTAAAGCAAAAATAATTAGTTAGAAATTAAGAATGAATTTTACCCTCTCTGTCTATGCTTGTTTACTTGTATGTTTTTTCATTTAATGAAAACTAAGTTACAAATCAATTTAATGTTCAAGCATGTGCTTATTTCTTTTGTTGTCTGTATTTGTTAAGTTCTTTTTCTTGACATTTTAATGACATTTGTTAGATAAAAATAAGATATTTAAATGGATTTGTTAGAATTGCCATACATTGTTAAGAACAACATCCTTCATCTGTAAAACAGTTGCTACTGCCACGCGTCATCAAACTTTTAAACAGTTAATAATAATGTGTTTAATAACTTGTTTGATTTGTGTAATCATAAATGATGAAAGAGTGTTTTCCTATGGCATTTTCTTATATTTATGTTACCTTGTTTTATTTGCTCCATTTATTTAGCATGAAGCTGAAGCGGAGAAAAATGATATACTTGAATTTGAATACAAATATGAGGCCTGAGGGTGAACTTAGGTAAGCATTTTTTGTAATGCTTCACATTTTAGTTTATTTCTTATTATTAGTTTTTTCAGGTTTAAAATGACTGTTTTACATTCAGATTCAAAATCCTAATCTAGTTTATATTCGATGTTCACATGGATATGCTTCTTATAGATGCATCTGTTCAAAATGTCTACTGTCTACCTATTTCATTCAAAAAACTGAATCCTATTGCTTCAAGAGGTTTCCAATGTGTTATTTTACAAAACCATTTATGACATTTAACAAAGTGAATAATATATATTCTTAAAGCGAATCTAAGCTACTTCTATCATTTTCTGTTAATTTCTGAATGTTGTTACTATCTACCTACTTCATGGAATATTTACTGGAAAATTTAATACCAGATTATTTTAATATTGAAAAAAATGTTGAAATAACTTAACCTGTTTAATCTTACTATAATTATCTCCAGAATCCAAAAAATTAGTTCCATATCCAAGAAAAGTTGAAAGTTTGAATTGGCTACCTATAAAAGCAGTATCCTTGGGTCTTGATCATTCAATTGTTGTTACAGGTATGAGATATTCTTAGCATCTTGAACATGAAAAATATGCTCTTCCACTGTGCTATTGATAATCACTTTTAGTTAATATAGAAAGAAAATGAGTGCATGATATGTAATTTTATTTAGCAGTGCATGATCTTAAAGCCAATCTAATCTACTTGTAGCATTTTCTATGAATTTCTGAATGTCATTAATGTCTGCCAACTTAGATGAACAAAACCTGAATACTCTATATGTCTAACATTGAAAATCGAAAACGGATATAAATGAGGCTAACGAATTAGTTATTAAAACACACCTTCAATGTTATCATTGCTCCTTTTTTTCTGAATAACTCTGTTACCTGGTAGAATGATAGAACTAAGTGTAAGCTTTTTCATTGCCAACAACCCTGCTTCTCACTCTTCTCTCTGATATCCTGATGTGTGCTCTCTTTAATTTGGCCAAACCATTTTTGCTTAGGTACACGGTATATTGTATATTGTTAATATTTATGATTTTCCTTGATCATGTCTGGCCCACTACTTTCAGAAATAACTGCCCCACTACTCTTTAATAACTTCTCATTAATACGTGTATACATGAATACATGATATATGATATATATCTTTAAAAATTTTAAATTTTGTTTTGCAGGCCCACATCGTTCCTTTTTCCACATTATTGTTGTAGACAAATTGTAATTTAATAGGTTATGGGACCTGTATATGGTGCCCGTTGTTGTAATATTTATAAGTAGTTAGTTTATAGGAGTGCAGGTTCCGAACTACAATAATTACACGCAACCAAGGTATGTTTCTCTCCACTTTATTTTATAATTTTTATAATTTTTGTTTTTGTTTCAAGCTCTCTCCAATAATTACTTTTTGTTTGATAGAAATGCATAATATTCGTATAGCAATTATTACCCTTGTTTTTTTTCAAACGACCTTTTAAGACCATAAGATATTGTTTTATTTTTGTTTTTTTAAATGATGTAGTTCTGCCAGCTCCAAAAAAGCCCATAACCAAAATTACCGTTTTTTAAAATTTATCAATGGAAACACTTGTATTGCACAAACCTTAAATTTAAACGTAACATAGTGTCATGGGAAACATAAATTTAGGGAACTCAAATACCAATCTAAGTTGTTAACCCAATATTTACAATAGACGGAATTTAGGGAATTAAAAATTAAAAACAACATGTTGTGTTTGTAAACACATGCTTAGGGAAACCAAACACAAATCTACTTGCAGGGTCCAATGAAATCTAGACACAAACATCTGAGCTAATCTGTGGCACACACACCATCAGATTAACCTCAAGAAATCCTAGAATCTATGCTAAACCTTCTCGAGCTTCACACGAATTGCCTTGCGGGTTTTTGCCAAAACCTTGTTCTCTTCATCATCTTTAGCGGGCCTTTTACCTCTTGATACTTCTGACACATTAGTATCAGTAATGTCGGTAGTCAGGTCAATAGGACCTACATCGTTTCCTTCACTCTCCTTGTCGCTTCTGGTTTAAACATCAACCCCATTTTGCATATCCTATTTTGTTATATATATAAAGATGTATATATAAACATAAAACACGAATGTTATTAAAATTATACATAATATAGATGGAGTCTTATGAAATTAGATCAAATCGTACCGTAGTTTGTGTTGGTGTGACCTTGGAGGTAGTAGCTTCATCACACTCCCCAACTTGTTTTGAACTGGCCTCACCTTCACTTTTAACCTTGACAACACTAAAAGCATGTTCCCCTTTCCTTGAGTTGTCATTGTTTACTTGTACCAAGCAAACGACTCTCTTTTCCATCAAATTAAAAATCTCAATAGGGGTGTCGTCGTCCTCATTGTTTTTCTGTGCCAATTTTAAACAGTTTTTTTAAAAATTGAGTAATACCATTTCATTCACAAATTGTGAAGCCTTTTTGCCAAAGAGTTCATAGCATGCATCACTCATTCACCATAGCGGAAGGTTAAACAGTTTTTTAAAAAATTGTGTAATACCATTTCATTCACAAATTGTGAAGCCTTTTTGCCAAAGTTCATAGCATGCATTACTCATTCACAATAGCTGAAGGTTAAATAGTTTTTTTTTTAAAATTGAGTAATACCATTTCATTCACAAATTGTGAAGCCTTTTCGCCAAAGAGTTCATAGCATGCATTATCCCACAACTAAAGTGATGTGTTTCCAGTTTTGTCCATTACTCTAATCTTTACCTTGTACCTACGAATTTACCAATTTTAGTGACTTAGCAAATAACCGGAACTTATGAGAAGTGTTACACATACCTCAAAGAGTGCGTACATGCAATTAAGATATCAAACTACCTATTTAATAGCTCTAGATACCTGATGATGACATCTTCATTGTTTTTGCAATTTGGATTAAGACATCCAAATTTGTCGCATTTTGGTGCAACTTTTCTAGCACAGTCCTTACAGGCTAAGTACCACCATCCTTCTCCAACGTCAACGTCTATGATCTCTCCAGCTATCCAAAAACGTCCAACCTAATAACAACCTTTTTTGTTATACTTGAAATTTAATTTTAAATAGGAATTTATGCTATCAAAGTATAAGTACCAAGTCTTTCTCGAAAAGGGTGTCAATAGGAATGATATCATTGTTGTTTGTGTTCACTTCATCTGTTTCCTATGAAGTGATCACAATTGCGGTTCCTGTGAAGCCGTCGTCTCCATGCACGTTGAATCTGTAGATTGTTAAGTTATCAATATACAATAGCAGAATGTCAATATATAATTTATTTATTGACATATGCCTTCTTGTCTTTGTAGTCATTGAGCTCTTTGTCTTTGCCATTGATTATCAACTTGGTAGCGAAAAAAGAATTTGAAACTGAAAACTCCCCTGAAAATTTATAATTCGTATTGTCAAACCTTTTAAGGATAAACTAATCAATACATTGTTAGAAAAGGGAAAATTATACCTTTGTACACTTTTGCTTTCACAAACAAAATTGCGGTCAGCATGAAATTTGGGTGTTTTTAACTTGTTCTTTGATCACATCAACAAATGGGCCCCACAATGTACACTTTAGAGTCCGTTGTCTGTCATGTTAAATATGTATCAATATATAATACACTCCTTGGTGGATGTGATCAAAGCTAAAAAAATTGAAAAACATACCCAGTGTCTTCTAGGACTATTTCACACAACTTTTGACATTCACCATTGAACTCCTGCGGTCTAGGGTAGTGAATTGACTTGATGCTACCTATGACATCTTTAGAGACACTTTGTAAGAGCTTAATTTCTTCTGTAATATATCTATGATATTATAGCATATAATATATCAATAGTTATACAAATCACTAAGAGTTTGGGTATAACATAATCTAAAATATTATAATACTAAAAATTAAAAGTTGCAAGAATTCTTATAAGATACTGAATTCTTATATTATTCGTTACCAAATAATTCGGATTGGTCAACATTGTTTGCATATGCAAGCTGGACAAATGGCCTAAAGTTGAACAGGAAAGTGGGAAAGTTTCCGTCAATGATGTCAACTGCCGTGGTCTTGTGGTTGAAGGGAATCTTGTACGCTAGTGTTGTTGTCTTGTACTTCATGTCATTAGGTGCCACAATGAAGTTCCTAACACTATACAATTGTCCTTCCTTGAGACTTTCTTTAAAATGCATAACTCTCTCACGACGTATTGTGGCATGCACTCTGTCCCCCTACAAAAAAAAGTAAGGTTAGGTTGAAGATAACATAAACGATTTAATCAAACAATAGGGTTCTTCTATAAAAATGTACCCCAGAATCATGGAAGACACACTCTAAAGTATTCGTGATACTTTTGTTACTGAAAGATGGAATAGTGTATGCTCGAATCAGCCTCAATCGTAAAGCCCAGTTTGTCCTGGACTTGTTAATCTCCAGCACTTTGTCGTAAAGCATGTTGGTAACACAGAAATTCATTTCTCTCTGCAATAGTCTGCCAAAGTTAAATTAATCCTGTGTTGAATCAATAATTTATAGGCATATCAGTTGCAGTTATTCAATATGTGTTAGTGGACGTGTGCAGGGAGTTTGAAATACGTGGACAAAACTGCTAAGCATATTCCAGGGCGCCATGTGTAATGTGTTAGTGCACATGTGTTATTATTATTATAATAATATTAATTTTAGTATTAAATAAAGTGGCATTTATGAGTTGTGCGGTTGTGCCGACCTAAAATTTACGTAGTGGTGTTGTGCGGTCTTGCAAAAATTAGTTTCAGATTTTAAAATGTTGTTTTCTTTATTATGCCACATGTCAATTTATTGTGATCGTGGGTTTGTTTTTTTGCAATCATTAGTTTCAGTTTTTTGGCATTGTTGTATGTATTACATTGACACGTGTCCAATGTAACGCCCCTCTCAGGGTTAAAGAAAACATTACTTAAACTTACTACTTTTAAAAATAAACTGCAATATAACGACCGTTTGTTTAAGAAATAACCCTGATAAAAAATGTCAAATATAACTAAAATATAACTCCAACTGAAAACTCAAAAAAAATCTAGTTATCACCAGCAAATATGATAACCACCTGGATCCAGGAATTTACTAAAACTTCAAATCCTCAAATAAAATAAAGTCACAATAATCACTTTATTATAACATCTCAAATACTTAAATAAATTAATAACTAGCTAGAAGCCGCCAAGGTCGTTCTCGTTAACTCATTTCGGCACGCGTTCCACTTTCTCATCATCTTCCTAGACCTTGGCCTTACCTTTAGTATCTGTACATGCGAAAAAAGAAAATTGATAAGCTTTACGCTGAGTAAGTCAATATGAATCCACAAAAAATATCTGAGAAGTCTATGCTAATTTATCAATAGATAATTTAGGCTATAAGCATGCAGTAAACAACAACTAACAAATTGCTTCTCAAATAAATTCTGAGAGGGATCCCAGAAAAAAAAATATTTTTAAAAACAACTTTTCAAAACTACTGGAGAGATCTCAAAATTTCTTCCTCAAAACATCTCTGTAAAACTTTCTGAAAGAGATCTAAAAAAAAAAACAACTTTCTGTAAAACTTTCTGAAAGGGATCTCATAAACTTTACTGTAAAACTCTTTGTGTCTAATTTTAACTGTGGGGCCGTGATATGTACTCAAAGGTGCCAATCCGACAGCTCAGGGGAGCGACCCACTAAACATATCGGACTCTCTGAAACTGATAAACTGATAATCTGAGGGAACTTGTTCCCGAGTACATATCACTTGATCTTTCACTTTAAATATTAGTTCTTTTTATGGTGACGTTTGGGTAAAAACATTATTAAAATCTTGAAATAAAGTACTGACAAAAATCTTGACTATGCCAGATAATAAACATAACTTAATACAACAATTACAATAACTCATCGAATAATTCACCAAGCTCACATAATAGCAAATAGTCTAAAATCATCTACAAAAATCAACCAGACTTCTTTCTTTCATTTGGTTGAATAAACATGTACAGGTAGTATTGAACTTACCTGGTATCAGCTGAAATCAAATACTCAAATATGTGTGACACCTTGATAATGTCTTCCGATAAGTTTTTCGTAAAACTCTTTAATTAAATATAAAAGTATAATGAGAACTCGTTATATTATTTAAACAGAACTCACAATTCACAAACCATCTTACATTGCTCTACTGGAAGTTTCAATTTTTAAACAAATGAACAGTATTCGTCTCAATTATCAGAACATCAAAATCAATAGACTGATTAAGAGTACTACTTCTAATCTATTATTAAGGAGTATTTGTGAAATTAACTACCTGAACTTAAAACCAACTGTCATAACAACTTTTGGTTTAACTTACTATTTATGATATAAAACTCAGGATCTCCCAGGGTAAAAAAAAAAAAAGAAATACTGATGTTATTAAATTTGAACTAAAAGTTTACATATGAAACTTAGAGAATTTGAAATAGTTAATCAAAATAGATATTCAAAAGCTGACTGGGATTTATTATTTCAAAATCGTAGGGTTAGAATTGATTTAAAAGAGATTTTGGGTTGATCATTATTGGTAGAGCAACGGGTTGTTTCCTTTTTTTTGGCATCTTTCTCTACGACTGAAAAGAAAGGTGAGATTCTTTGATTACCTGAAGCAGCTTGATAAAACAAGATTAGAACCTAGAGCTTTGGCACCAAGACAAATGAAGAGCGGATTTGAGAGACTAGGACAGCGGCTACTGGTAGAGGAGAGAGTTGATCCTCAGGGTTTATGGGTGATAATATATTTAGGTTATGCCTTTCTAGGGATTTAGTATGATAGAGATTTATTTGGACTAAAATAACTGATTCGGGCCTCTCAGCCTTATAAAAAGTAATTCTGATCCAATTGAAAATAACATTCTCTCTTTAAAAAAATATACTGAAAACTATAGATAAACATTTATTTCATCACTTAAAATTATTAGAGCTTATCGGTTAACATTATCTGCCACAAACAAAACATGTTAAAACAATAAATCACATTATTCCTAAGGGAAAATTATCCTCATAAGACTAAAACATGATGTGTTTCCCAATATATGACTTAGTTATGTTTTTTCCTATTTTGATGGTTCAATACCGTTCATGGTAATTTCGAATCATTTTTCCGTATCTTATATTCCAGGGCTGCCCTCAATGAGTCGGTTAATAGATATGAAAACTTTTTGTCCTGCTTTCTCACAAACGATATGCATTACTTGTATGCTAGACACCCATATTAAATATTCTTCCTAAAAACATGGACTTAACAAGTGGAGTACTACGTATATCATAAACGCTTTTGATATTAATATTATTGTTATTATTATTAATATTAATAATAATATTATTATTATTAATATTGTTATACTTTTTCGGAACATGAATGGATTCCTAAAGTGTTCTCCATTTCGTTATTGTCTTGATTTATTTCCCTTTTATTATTAGTAGTCTTTTGTTACTGCCCTTTGATTATTGTACGTCTTCTTGATTTATTGCCCTCCTATTACGGTTTGTCTTCTATTACTGTCCTTTTATTAGTGTACGTCTTCTATTAATGCCCTTTCGTTACTCTACAAATTCAATTATTGCTTTTTTATTATTGTGTACATCCAATTACTGCCCTTTCGTTCTGTTCCAAATATGATTGCAATAAGCGAAGCTCCATCATAATTACTCAGGCGGTTCTTTGAATTAATCAGGTGGTTATTTCTCATAAACGGTTATTCCTCATTAAGTAGTCCGTCAATAACATGAGATATACGGAGTATAACAGCTCGGCCCTTTATTTTAGGAATAAAATATTAGCTCATTAATTAAATGGGAAGAGGGCACATGTGCACATGTGCACATGTGGGCACACGTGTATGAGCATGACGCATGCAAGTCATAGAATAAGAATAAAACTTCATGTAGTCATAGATGAGGAAAGACATCCTCTATTAGTCATACGAGATGGAATTTTCTCTATTCATAAAATAAACTTATTTAACTGACTAAAATAATTAATAATCGGGGTGTTACATCCAATTCTATTATTAAAAGTTATTAGGTAGCTTTTGCCACAATGGAATCAGCCGGTTATAAGTTATTATGTAGCTTTTGCCACAATGGAATCAGGCGGGAACCGTTTATCCCAGCCGATTCCATTGTTAAATATATAAAGATTAAAGTCCAATCTACTTTTCTTAAGTCTAATTAAAAAACATCCTTGATGGAGTATATGGCCCGGGAACCCCCGGCCCACAGACTCCTACTACTCCAGGAAAGGCCCAACAGGCCCAAAAGGCCCAACAGGCCCAAATCGCAGCGCCCAGAGTACCAAGCAGCTCGCACTACGCGCCAGGGGTGCCTTCGGGCCCCTGGCCGAAGGCTCCAAATTATCACAGAGCAGGTTTCTCAAGCAAATTAGGAAACTGGGAGAAAACGGCGAAAACAGTAGCCCTCGGCACTGTGAGCCCTCGGCACCAGGGTGCCATCGGGCGGGAGAGCCCTCGGTTACTGCTCTATAGCCGAAGGCATCTCACTCGACAAGATATCTGCCTCACACGCGTACAGATCACCGTACCCCGCACAGACGTCCCATCCAACAGCCGCATTAAATGCGGCCACATGCGGCTGCCAGCGCCAACCAGTTGAGGTGACCCCTCGGCCAATGAGCGCTTGACACGTGTCCCTGCCCGGCATTTATTGCTACTATAAATAGCACCCCATTTCCCCATTTGTAACCCCGCTGAAAAGTGATAACACACTGAATATACTCTCTCTCTACTTTCATTTACTTGCTCTGACTTCTCTCTAGATTACTTCCCGCAATAACCCTTCGGATATATATCCCCGGGTAGACTATCCATCATTTTGGTGCTCTCGTTGAGAGCTGAACAATCGAGTAAGAAACCCTCCCCCTCGACCAAACACAAAACACTAGCCCTCTATCAAAATGGTGAGGACAACGCGTGCCAACTCAAAGAACGTAGAAGACAAGAACCTGCCCCTCGGCGACGTCAACGCCCCCGAAGCCTCTCACAGGGCTCCCGAGGGCGGTGTCCTCGCTGGGCTGGAACAGGCGGCTGTCGACCTACGCCTTCAGATCCAACAAAACGCCCCCGATGCCCGCCTCGGCATCGAGGCCAAGAAGAAAAACCGGAGCGATGACCAAGTCAGCCCTCCGGTTCTCACCATCGACGTACAATCGGCGCTCTCCGCCTTCATCCAAACGCTCACCCAGAACCCAGGTGCCTTCGGCACCCTGGCTCCAGCTCACCCTCAGATCGGGGAAAATATCATACTTCCCCCTCTGCCACACCCCTTCGGAAATCCCACCCCTCGGGTGAGAAACGACGAAGGGGTGGTGGCCCAAGAAACATTCTCCCAGGAAGTTCAGTCCCGGGACCGCCATAATGACAACAGGTAGAGGCCCCGTACTTCCGCCCTCAACCGGCTCGGAGGAGGGCCAGACCGCCGAGGGGTCCAAG